GGGGGGGGGGCATACTCTTATGTTTTGCATACCTTAGCGGTTAGACCATTGACCACGCGTCCTCAAGGGGACGGAGCATTGTTCCCACAGGACCGATCATTCCTTCCTACTTTGCCAAAGGTGGATCAAAAATGTCTTCCCCAGTCTATCTATCCTACCGATATCACTGCCCACCTTTTCAACCCACTTCCCATGCCCCAGTACAGCTAACGTCTTCTCCTGGCCATCCCATGCCTCAAGCATCTCCCTGTACTTTTCTTCTACCTTTCCCAGCTCAGTCATGTACACTTCCCTCTCCTTGTACAACCGACATTCCGCGACTACATGAACACGGTCTTCGCACTCGGAGCCGCAATCACATCCTCAAGAGGGGGGGTAAAGAGGGCGCATCGTAGCTCGTGGCTCAGTGGGCGCGGAGGAACGGGGGGTACGGTTTGATACTGTAGCGTGCACGGGAACAAGTACAGCGCTGCTAATCAAAAACGGAACGGATTTGCCTGCGGGTTATGGGATGTTCTGCTGCTCGAACTCCCCCCCCCCGATGGTCCATCCTGGTTAGGTAGGTAGGAAGAGACGCGAGGGTTTCGGCATCAAGCAGCAAGCACCACCAAAACGCCAGGTAAACCACACCCTATCCCAAAACCTCATCCTACGTAATACTACCATCGAGCTCCAACAAGCAAATCCTTGCTTCAACCGCACCACCCCTCTGGCCGCCGTTCCCTCCCCCCTCCCCCAACCCTACCTGTCCCAACGACAGCACAGCCGATGCCTGCCGCCCGGCCGCCGCGCGCCACTCCCGTGCTTCCGCCGCCGCTTCCGCCGCCGCCCTCTCCAGGGCCGCACGCTCGTTCCCCAGCCTTCGCGCGAGGGCCTCCAGGCGCCGAGCGCCTTCGGTGCCCCCCGCGGGCTTGACGCCTCGGAGGAGGCGCAGGCAGGGGGCGCTGGAGCTGTCGGACGCGGCGCCTTCGGTGACGGTGATGGGTCGGTTTCGTTGGTGGGTGGGGCGGTAGCGGTGAGGATACAAGGCGAGGAGATGACGACGATGTGTGAACGGAAGGGATGTTGTTGTTGTTGTTGTTGTTGTTGTCGTTGTTGTTGTCGTTGGTGTTGTTGTTGCTGTTGTGAGGTTCGGTAGATATCCATTGTCGGTTGGTCTGGAGGGAAGCGGGGCGATCGTGCAAACCGGACGACGAGGAACAACCACACGGAGGAGGGGCAGGAGAAGAAGGAGCGGTGTACGACAAAAAAGACACAAGCCCATAATCTATCCAAAACATATTTTGTGCGAAAACGAACAAGAAGGCGTTCCTTCGGAAGAGCACTTACTTCCATGCGCCCGCCCAGTTAGCGGCAAGAATCGCTTGCTAGCTACTGTAGCAGAGGGGTGCCGGAAGGACCCCTCCGCAAAGTGACGCCACCAGCTGCCGTCGCACAGAAATCTCTGCACTGGTTGCACCGCCGGAACACGCGCTACAACCAGGAAAACACACGAGATATCTGGGAGAGCGGCGGCCGAGTCCCGCTGTCCCGCCGACCCTGCTGAGTCTGCGAGCACCAAAAAGACAGGGTGCAGCTCCAAGAAAAAACAAACGAGCTGTTGAACGCTTCTGGTTACCGCCTCTATCTACGAAGACGGATTAGGGTTAGGGTTAGGGTTAGGGTTAGGGGTTAGGGTTAGGATTGCTGTTGGCTCCTCACCTGCACCCTCCGGGGAGCACGGCACCGCCACTCCCAGCGCCGCAGCGGCAACCACGAGACCCGAAAACGTATCCCGTACTTCCGCGATAGCCTTCACCGTTCCCGCCTCCCCCCCCGAGCACCCTCCCCTCGCAACCGGTAGCAGCAGCGACCCAACTCCCACGGTCGCGGGAAGCGGCAGCCTACCCGCCGAGGCGCACGCCGCTGGTGCGCGGCCACCGCCGCCGCCGCAGCCATCACCACCGTCACCCCCGGTTACGCCGACCAAGAGAGCCTCCAGCGCACGGGTCGCCGCCGCCGCCGCCTCTTCGAACTGCCGCAGAGACGGCGCATCCAGGTGATACATCTCGCGGATCTCGGGTACCGCGCTCCCCTCATCGGACGCCACCGATGCTGCCGCTGCTGCCGCCTCCGCCGCAGCTGCCGCCGCGGCTTCCGCGGCCCTGGCCGCCACCGCGCCTCCTCCCCCAGCGGCACGCGCGCCTGCCCGGCTGCAAGCCCCGCCGCCGCCGCTAGCCCCGCCGGGGGGGGTGCGGGAAGGACCAGACAGTGACAACGCTGCCGAAGAATACGGAGAAGTCCCCCCCCCATTCCTTCCTCCTCCTCCTCCGTCATCCGCTAATAGCACGGAGGCGTGTCCTGCGGCCGGGGATGCCCCCGCTCGCCGGTGGTGCGACTCTCCGTGCGCCGGCGGGGGACACGTGAAGTGGTCTGGATCGAGGGCGCGGAGGCGGATATCTCGCGGCCGCCGCTGACCGCCACCGCCGCCGCGCGCGGGGTGAGGACTACTGAGGAACATTCCTGTTTTATTAACGTTTTTGATGCGGTCGGTATTTTCTTCGTTATGGAGGTAGACAGATCAGATCATGGCAGATCAGGTGTGTGTGTGCGAGAGAGTTGGGGCCAGGCCTGGAAATTTCCTGTCGTTTTTGTAGATATTTCGTTTCTGTTGTCATCATGGAAGGTAGGTAACGGTTTTGGTAGACAGATTAGATCATGAAAGATCAGGCGTGTACGTCCGAGAGAGCTTTCGGGGGGTGGGGTCAGGGAGCCGGGGGCAGCAGAGGGAAGGTGGAGCGGCTTTCTGTTTCGCGGGCAGGCGGGCTGAAAGGGGGCAACACGACGAACACTTCGGAGCCAGCAAATCCTAGAACAACGCGGGGGCGACCGGGGGACGGGGGGTCATCATGTGACATACTCCTTTTCAGAGGAGCTTATTCCACTGACGTACAACACATAGAGTGCTTCAGCCCCAGCATGAGCCTACTCCTTTGTGCATGGAATTTAGTTCTCCGGTGTATGCATACATACCTCAGGGCTAAGGTTATACCTTGAGGTTACAACCAAACCCCGGGATATCACAAGAGCGCACCACGCTCGAAGGCATGCAAAATTCAGCCCTACCAGCGTCCGGACGGGGCGAGAACAAGCAAAAGCGCAAGGGTTTTTGAACCGAGACCATTCTATCACACATGCCGACCCCGCTCTCACCGGTACTCTGACCCACGTGGATCCTTCCGTCCGCCGCCTTCTGCGCCGCCCTCTCCGCCCATCGCAACCGCCTGGCTCGGTGTCCAAGAGGAGATACAAAGAGAACATCGTGGGGAGAGAGAGAGGATACGACCACGCCGTTGCACGTACGATGCGCAAAAAAAAAAAAACATGCGGTAGGGTGGTTCGCCGAGGAAGACACAACAACCCTCGAGAAGGCGTGTTGTGGGCGTAAAAAAAAATATCGAGAACGAATCACGACGAAGGCGGACATGGGGACCCTGACTGAGAGTGCCATGGCGGCCCTCACTGCAAGCGCCCAAAACAGCAAAACTGTCCACCCCACCCCGCACCCCACATCCCACACCTCGAGAGGTCCTTCACGCGGTCGAGAACCTGCCGCCAAGCGGGCAGCGCCGCATCTCCGAACACCCCTCCCGCCGCCACCCCGGGATAAAAACCAGCCCCGGTCCCTCCGCCGCCGCCGCCGCCGCCGGCGGCGGGACCCTTCGGGTTTCCACTGCGTTGGCGGGAGGAAACGCCGCCGGGGGATCGGGGACCACTACTCGAATAGCCATCTTGTCCCAACGAGGCCAGCTCGAGGAGGGTGTCTTCTAGGTGGCCCAGCACCGCCTTAACCTGTGGGGGCGTGTTTTTCGGGAAAACGGGGCGAGTTTGGGCGTACATCGTCCAAAAAGAGAGAAGGCGGACAGCATAAAAGTTAAACAACAAGTTGGTGTTTTGTTTTCAAGAGCGGAGAGTCGAGCGCGCCCTAGACAAGCAAAAGACTTGGTGCGAACAGCGCATGCTAGAGGGAAGGTGTCTCGACTCTTAGCCCGTAGGAAGGTACGGCGGCACGTCAACTGCTGTTTCACGACGGGGGGGGCGGACGTGGTCGAAGGCCAAGAGACGAAAGGACAAAGAAAGCGTGAAACGAGTACGCGTTGGCTACATAACGCGCTGCCGTTACGCTCTGCCTTCCTGTTCTCACAGAAAACGGCGGTGCACTGCTGCTGCTGCTGCTACTGCTGCTACTGCTGCTGCTGCTGCTCTGCTGCTGCTGCCAAAGGCAAAGGAGCAACGCTACCAGACACCTCTCTTCGTGCGCGCGGAAAACACAAACAACTGAGATGCATGCCTGCTGCGAGAGCAAACAACCAAAACCCTAGCGACCAAGAACAAGTTGTATTGCCTTCTTCACGCTCACACGCGCGCCTGGCACAACACCCTGCCTGCCCACCTCTTGCGTCACCGCTGAACTAGCGTCCACGGCGCACCACTGCAGCCTGACCTGCCGCCTCAGCTGCGCCACCTGTCCCCTCAGGATCGCGTCGCAGGCGGCCGCCTCTGGTCCCGGTCCGGCCGCCGCCGCCGCTCGCTCTGACGCCGCCGCCGCGGCCGAGCCAGCCCTTTCCCCCGCCCCCCCCCCGTCCTTCGCGACCTCGTGCTCCTGCTGGTGGTGGAGGTTGCGGTGGCTCGCCGTCGACGATTTCCCGGAGCTCTTCGATCCGTTGCCTCAAGCGTAAGTTTTCGGCCACCACTGCCTCTACGTCGACCGCCGTTGCGCTACTTTCCTCCTCTCCAAAGCTGTAAATTATGGGTTGATTCAAAATTGAAAACAAATGTGTGGGGGGGGGGGGGGGGGTGTACTCATAGTTGTGCATGCCGTAGTCTTTAGACCATTGACCTCGCATCCCTACAAAGCCGGGACGGAGCATGCCGGGTTCTCACCGGCGAAGCGCCGTGAGGTATTCGGCGAGTCGCATGAAGGGTGCGCTGCATCCTGCTAAGGGTGTTCGGCATCTTGTGCTTACTTCCTTGCCTACGGATGACAGCTGCGTATGACTTAATTTATTTTCTGGTGCTTTCACTTCCAGAGACAGTTGGAAGCGCTGTGTAGCTGCCTCGAGGGTGCTTGACCAATTTTAACACAACGTGCGATTATCCCCTTTGCGCGGAGTCAGGGTTCTCGACCCCGCACAACATAATCTACTCGACCACCATTCATGGTTACCGGAAAAAAAAAAACGAAGGCAAAAAAAAGACCCGGTAACCTGGTTGCCGAGCTCACGAAGTGATCGGCTTGTTCTACAACATCGCTGTGCGGGGGGAGGCGCAAAGCAGCGGTTGGGTGGCGGGCACAAGAGGGAGGATAGAGAAATGGATATGAGAGGTGTACCGACGAGGTCTGGTTCAAAAGAGACGCGCCCGACCCGACAACAAGCGATTCTCTTGTCTTTCGACGCGCAGCAAAAACAGTTAGACTTCTGGCGATCGGTCTCCCCACACCACAACCGTACGAACACACGCACAGCACGGGTAGGTAGAGCAAGCAGCTTGCCACCCCTCGCATCCCCTGCCGCGCACACTCATAAAACGCCCGAAAAAAAACACAACACGAAGAACGGCGTTACCTCTTCCGTCTCTGCCCGCCCGCCACCTCCCTGGTGTTGCTGCTGCTGCCGCTTTTCAACGCGGCGGAACCTCCCGCCCCGCCAACAATGCTCATCTCCAAGCCCACGGCGGTGTAGTCTCGCAATCTGCCCGAAAGATCACCATCATCCAGATCAAGAACGTTGGCACCGCCACCGCCGCCGTTGCCGGAGTCGGCGCCGAGGACTGCCCGCTTATCCTCCCGCGAAGAGCCAGGCGGCCGGAGGCGCGCTCTACGTGCCGTGGATCGCGGAGCCGCTCGCCGAGAGCTGCTCAAGCGTTCTTCTTCCGCCGCCCCGGCCATCGCCGCCTTCGAGTGCTTATTCTGCCGCTCGGTGGTGGTGTCAGGCTCAGAACGCGGCGCCGGCGGCGGTGACGGCGGCAACGGAGACGTTGGTTGCCCCGTCGCTCGGCCGCAAAAACCGCCTGCAGCACCGATGCGCGGAGGCGTTACTGCTGCTGCGGCGCCCGCCTGTTCCTCCTTCCTCCCCCGCACGGGTGAGCCGTTCCGCCGCCGCTCTTCGCCTCTACCGCCGTCGCCACCGCCGTCGCCGTCGGGAGGAGCGGGCCTCCGTTCCTCCCAGGGAGATGGCACTCTTGCGGGCTCGATCGGAAACGGCGTCGACATGCTTGCCGGCCTACCACCCGCCGATAGCTTCAGCGCGGCTTGTTCGGACAACAGCGAAGAGATTTCCTCGGTCGGTGCCGCCGCCGCTGATGCCGCACCCGCGACTGCGAACGGAGGCGTTCTTTCGAAGGCGGCATTGCCGGCGCCGCCGGCGCCGGCGGGCAGGCTACGTCTACGACGGGACGGGCGGGGCGTGCGCGCCGTCCTCAGCCCTGCCGTGCGGAGGGGGGTCGGGGAGGGCCCGCCGCCGCCGGAGGTCGCCAGCGACAGGCAGGAGGGGGAGGCTCCTCCGTCGAACCTACCGGCAGAACGATCGACGCCGCCGCCGGTATCGGCGGTGCTCTCGCTGATGTTGTGATTGCTGCCGCCGTGGATGCCGGTGTCGTTGGTGCTGGTGATGCCCTCGCCGTTGTTGTTGCTGACGCTATTCGTGTCACGGCCGCTGCTGCTGTCGACGCCGAGGGTGTTGCCGGAAGTGTTGATGCTCGGCGTGGGGCCTGTCGATGCAGGTGCGGGCGCAGGCGCCGCCTCCGGAGCACTTCTTCGCCTTAGCTGACGGCTGCTGACTCTTGCCGCCAAAAATCCAACAGCCCTGCGGGGCGAAACGAAAAAATGTACCAGCGTGTACATCGGGCACACGGCCGTCGATCGCGGAGGAACATTTCTTGGCGAAGACTGTTTGGGGGTGCTCGGCAGATCTACGGGACCTCAAGGGGGGTACGTGGGTGATGTGATGGACACGCCACGTGGGGATAGTCTTGCCTCACGCATGTGTCTGTCACTCGTTAATGACAAAGGTCTTGAGCCGTCATTTTTTCCTCTTTCGGCCTCTGATGACGAAGCTGCCGCACCCAAACAAAGACTGTTGTGCGCGTTTCACCGTCTGCTGTGTGGTGGTCCAAGCGCTGCGGGTGTATGTTGCGCACCTCTGTGTGCACCAGATGTGTGTCAAGATGCCATGTGTACGCCAGACGGCTTTTGCCGAACAGCCAAAAGTAAAGAGAGTGCGCCGAGCGACCAGTGAGAAAAGGAAACGTGGCTCGCAGTTTTCAGATTGGTCTACAAACCTGCGGCGGAATATTTTCAGACATGACTGAAGATCCTTGGATGACGGGTGGCGTCACCAGCACACCACGGGATACGCCTCGATCGGTCGCACCCAGAGTCCGCTACTGGGTCGGTTGCTCTCGATGACCATCGGCCGCTCTCGACCACGTTGAAAGACTGACACCTGTTTACGAAAAAATACCCCCCGCACAGAAAAAAAAAAGCAAACATCGGAACGAAAGAGTCACAAATACATACATGCGCACCACCGGTCCACACACACAGGAAACTACCTGAGGCACACGCCGGCGTCTCCCTGTAGCTTCTTCGGCGCCCTGAGGGCGGGAGCGGCGCCCAAGGCGGCAAGCACGGCCCCCACCTCCGCGAAAAAAGTCCGCCGCAGCTCGTCCTCGGCCCTGCGCAAGGCGACCGGCAGCGCCTTTGCCGCCTTGTCCAACTGGCGTGAGACGGAGACGGGACGAAGCGTTTGTTTGGTTCATCGTGCACGGCGGCGCGGCATTGTTGAAAATGTCAGCATACATACGCAGAAGATAAAGATAACGGGTTTGTAGAGGGTGGCGGCTTTGTGACTTTAACCCGCAGTTTTATTTTTTTGTGTGTGTGGGCAAACGAGTCGTGAGCTTCTGTCATTCACACGCGTGTAGCCGACCCACGGCATTTTTGGCGCAGAGCATGCCATGGATGCATGTCGTGCCGACAAAAAACAGGTTGAGATTATCATCGATTTTCTTATGAGGGCGTCCGAATGGCCAGCGGTCCATCAACCACGAACCGCGGACGAAACGTTGCAGAAATTGACCCTACAGCTCGCTATCGTTGAAAGATAGTCCCGATGGTAGCAACGCAATCGAAGCACCTCTCGGCTGCGCGGCACGCCATCCGCCCGTCTCCTTCCATCGTGAGAGCCGAGGCGGTCCAAAACACACCGCCGCCGCAGCAACAACCAAACTGCAAAGGGTGGGTTAGGTACAATATGGGAAATCGGGGCTAATTTTTAATTAGCCCGAAGCGCGACATTTTTTCCCTTCGTCCCCAGGAGGGAAAAAAAGGATCTATATATTTAGCGGGCAAAGTTGCGCAGCACGATACAGGGGCCCCAAAACTTGTTTTCCGTGAAGCCGATAAAACCCACTTCTGGGACCAGAACGACATCTACAGGGCACCGATTGACGATCTGCTCGCTTCTGAGGAAGAAGAAAACTAGCGCCCTCTGCGTCACACCGGTTTGGTCGTGCTCCGATAGCGGATGGCCGTGCTACACAAGCGTTTGTGCCCTAAATTCGTAGGAGATCTTTCTGCCCAGCCCCGGGGTTTCTCCGCGAAAAGGCGTGCACAAAAGCGGAGATCGCGCGCACGCGCGATTGAAACCGGGAGAAGACACCGAGACAGACAGAGACAACAACACCACAAAAAACCACATCACCGCTGGGACGCTGATCCGAGACCAGCTATGAAAACCAGGAGGGGCCGGGCCTATACGACCTGTGCACCGTGGGTATAGTCATGTGCCATGTGTAACCTTGCGGCGGGTGTTTAGTGATGTTGAGTGGGTCCAACCCACTGCTCCAAAAACAGCAGACCGATGATGGTCACGAACGAACACACGACATAACACACCTTCCCAAGTCCAGATCACACCTACCATCGAGAGAAACCGTCGAGCGCGTGAGGGTCTACTGCTGCTGTGCCTTATCAGAATGGTTCCCCGCGGGATCGGTTCAGGTTGCGTACTTGCGCCGCGCTACTGACTGTCTTCGCACAAACCGTGCCCTGCCTGCTGTTGCTGTTGTTGGGTCTGTTCCAGATGCCCAGATGCGCGTGTTTGCGTCCGCACAGCGGGAAGACGTCACATTTTGTTTCGTCGTGGGTGTGTGTATGTGCATCAACGGAAAAGAAACAACCGCATGTAAAGTGCAAAATATTGAACGCGGGGGGCGCACATACACCCATCGTCGCTCATTCCGCCGCACGCTTGTCCCTCTGATGGTGCACGCGTAGCTGCACCACAAACGATTCACGCTGCTGTGTATCGGGATTCGTGCACCATCAGCATCGCAGATAAGACTACTGTAAGGTATTGAGTCACTACCCCGCGCGGCTCATCACCCCGCCCTATCTAGTACTCCCCGGGCCCCCCTCACCGTGCCCCCCCCCCCTGCTAAGAAACTGGGCTGCGCCAAAAGAGTCAACAATACGCCTATACATACGCACCTGCCGCGCCCTGTTTCGCTCCATCTGCAGCTGCGCGCATGCCATGACGGCCTCTTTGCCTTCTGGCAGCTGCCCCCCCCCCCGCCCAGACCCCCGGCGGACAGCAGTGGGAACGGTAACATGATCGCGCACGATACATAGATGACACGCCAAGGGAAGGGGGTGGGAGATACAGCTAGCTGAGAAAAAAATTAAGAAATAGCAGCAGTCAGCAGCAGTCAAAACAAACGGGGCGGATATTCGACGAGATAAAGAACGAATGGTGGTGCAAGAACGGTCGTCGTAGTTCGGATTCCTTGTCAAGAAGGAGGCTTGGAGCCGAAGCACCAGCACTGCTGGTGGCTGGGAAGCCAAGAGCTCCAAGAGGATATCTTTCGTTAGGTGGAGACTAATGTAGTCCATTGGACTATTCGTCAGCGCTGACGAAGGAGTTGGAGTAGCCTTTATCCAACACACAGCATGGGGTCGATACATGTAGTCTAGTTCCCGTTGTGACGTATGCTATGCATATGAGTTAGTCCCCGCCCTTTGGGAAGGGCTAATAGTGGCCATTACATATTTGCGCGCGGGGCAATTCAGCACAGGCAGATGTTCGTTGATTGGCGGACATGTACACGCGTGGATCCTGTGTGTGATGCCTCGTGAGAAGAGGAGGCTGAGGGACAGACTTTTACTTCAGGACACAAAGCCCGGTCTTCTTCTGCAAGTTCCATCGAGTGTCCTCTACCTACCGCTGTTTTAATTTACACCTACAAAAGCTCGACCTGGGGGACTATCAACGAGTACTGTATTATGCAAAGAACATGACCTCTGCCCTGGATACCACGCCTATTTTAGTACACAACCCGCGAGGGATTGACTACGCACACATAGGGCGCCACATGTTGACGAGAAGCACCGAACGCGTTCGTCCGCGCTCAGGTGCGTACCATCACGCCTACATACATACCTCCGCCAGAAGGCCGAGAAGCACCCGCTGCTTCGTGCGCCAACTTAGCTCCCCAAGATCAGCCGCACTCTGAAAGCAATGATTAGAGAGGAGAGATAGAGAGAGAGACGGGCGTCGTGTGGACCGGGGGGCGAGTGAACCAAACAAAGCCGGTCGAGAAAAGGCTCGATGCGCGCAAGTCAGGAGTCATCCAGTGCAAAGTTCTAGGGATTGTGTCAATCCAAAGAACAACATCTTGTGCAAACAAGAGATGAATTGCTATGGTGTGAAGCGTGCTTTGCACTGCTGTCTCACAGCAAATGATTGTTTTTTTTTTTTAAGGAGATGGCGATCAAACGGACTTCTACGGGTATTATACTGTTTTTCTCTCTCAGTTACTTACCAAGGTCGAACATCCCGCCAACTCGCGAAGTTGGCACAAAAGATCCTCTCGACTTGACGCCATCGACACTGAGCACCGCCCTTTGTTGCCCTGCGGCAGACACAGGCTGCAGGAGACAGCAGACAGAGCAAGATCTCTCTCTGTCGGGAGCTGCCGAGCGCCGACGGAGCTCCGTGAAATTGAAAGCCTACCTGCGCGATGTTCGATACGGGGCCCCATGAGGTTAGTCTAGTGTTGCAGTTGTTTGCCATGCAGCAGCATTCCGTCCGAAAGCTCAACAAGGTGCACATACACCGAGGCGAAACCCACCGTGACAGAAGAGATACACCAGGAGGCCGGTAGCATTGAAGCAACAAGAACCGTCAGGGTCCAGCGGCACCCCGAGTACTGCCAAGGTGAGTCTTTTCTTCCAGGTCTTTCTTGAGTCCCAGCTGACACGGGCGCTCGCCGAAAACAGCTGGAGGATCAGACGCGGCCAGCAATCTCGGTCGAGGTTGGCGCGGCCTGTCTCTACTGGTCCCTGGTGCTTTGTTTTGCTTTGGTTACTTCCGAGCGTGTGTTGCAAGTGAAGTTCTTTTTTCCAGCACCAATTTTGTCGGATAGTTGTTCGGTGACTGCGCCGCAGCTGTGCAGCCTCTCTGCCATCTGCAAAGGTTATCTCCGTAAACAGCCGTGAGGGACTAGCAATTGCGACGCAACCAAGCCACGCCGGTCACGGTCGGCGCGCGGGCTGTCTCTACCGGCCCCTTGTGCTTTGTTTTGCTTTATTTAGTTGCGAGCGTGTGTTGCAAGTCATGTTCTTTTTTTCCAGAACCGCATCTGTCGGAGAGTTGGTCGTTTACTGCGCAGCGGCTGTGCAGCGTATCTGATATCTGCCAACGTTCATCTCTGTAAACAGCCGTGAGTGATTAGCGTTGTGCAAGATGCGACGCAATAAGCCACGCCGGTCACGGTCGGCGTGCGGCCTGTTGCTACCGGCCTCTGGTGGTTTGACGCCAGGGGAGGCTTGCGTCGTCTTTTGCCTTTTTCTTCCACTAAACGTCATTTTTGCGAATATCCCGCAAACTTCCGCACCCACCCCAGGTCCACTCCTGCGATGGCGTCGACGGACCGTGACGCACTGGTTGCTCTATACAAGGCGACCGACGGGGCGAATTGGAGAAACAGGAGAAACTGGAATACTGATGCACCGCTAGGGCAATGGGACGGGGTCAAAGTCAACGACCAGGGCCGCGTGGTGAAGTTGGAGCTGGACACAAACAACCTAAGTGTGAAAAGAGGGAATCGTCCTCGACAGACGTTGGGGAGTTTCTACCTTTATGAAGGTGGTCTCCACATTACCCCCCCCTTTTTTCGAGACTTTTTCTTGTTGCCCAGGCAAGAGAAGTCTTCTTGGGGTAACCGGAACCCGACCGGCTGGCGGCGGGGCGATTCACATTCCTCACAATCCTCTGTACGTGTTTTACGGGCGCGAATATTTGCAATCCATGGATTATAGAAGAGAACCACAGTCCAAACATCCAGACGGATCGAAACCCCGGGAAACCGCCCGGAGTGTCCCCGAAGAGGTTCTTCTCCCTCTCCTATAAAAGCAGCGATAATCACGGCGGCGGAGAGCCGTCTGAAGGCGGCGACACGCACCCGCACGCTGGGGGAAGACGAGGAGACAACACACAACGATAACTGGTGAGATCCCGTCCCGACAGGCGTCCGTGCATCCTCTGTGTCTGTGCCTCACCCTCACCCTCTCTGTGATGTTTTTTTTGGAAATAAAATAGCAACGGCCGCACCCGCACCAGCGCCATGTGTGTGTTGGTCTGTCTCCTGTGTTGCAGCCTCCCTCATGCTGTCCCACGTGTCGATGCTGCTCTGTACCTGTTGTTGCCGTCGTACGTACGTTGGTGATCATGTGCCTGCACTGGTGTGGTCAGGCCAGGCCAGGCCCTGCCTGTTGTCCTTGCCGTATAGTCCGGAGTCTTTTCTTCTGGCTGCTCGGCTGTATGGTGGTGCTACAGCAGTGCTGGACTGGTAGAGGTGCAGGCATTGTGCACGCACTTGCCCAACCCCTTAACTTCATGTGTCTACCCTCCATGTTCGCGTCGTGGGACCCGTGGCCTGCCGTGCGGTAGTGTCATTGCTAGGAATGCTTCCATCCAGTGCTGCTCTGTCGGCCTCTTACGGTGCTCGTCATGCTGGCGCTGCGGGAGCCTTTGCGGGCTACCCTGTACAAGCCCACCCCGTACAGCAACAACAGCAGCAGATATTGACCACCAGCCCTCCGCCGGAAACGCAGGCGAGACGGGTTGATGTTTGACAAGTGCGGTTCGACGTGACACCGGCAATGTTTGTTCCGTGGGTGTAGCACGCCAGTGGATTGTCGCTGCTGTGCTGTACCTCGTGCCTTTCAACGCGTGCACGTACGGTTCGCTGTTTTCGTGTACTCAGCGGTGGACGGCGAAACGTTTCATTTGTCTTGTCTTGTGATCAAACGTTGACATGGTGTCCTTCCATTCCGCCGCGTGGTGGGTTTCGCGTGCGGTTGCAGGCCATGCTTTCACCTCGCACTGGTCTGCCGTTGGGAACTCCGGCCCCTGTGGGTGCTCCCGATGCTGGGGCCGCCGGAGGTTTTGCGGGCTACCCTGTACAAGCCCACCCCGTACAGCAACAACAGCAGCAGACATTGACCACCAGCCCCCCGCCGGAAACGCAGGCGAGACGGGTTGGTGCTTGACACGTGCCGTTCGGCGTGACACCCACAATGTTTTTTTGTGTGCTTTACTTGATGTTGCTGCTGCTGTTCCCCTTGGCCCCATGAAAAGAGCACCGGTATCTGGCATTCCCCCGGTCCACATCAAGGCTCCCTGTAGAGGCCCTGCCATTGTTTCCGTGGGTGTAGCACGCCAATTGATTGTCCCTGCTGTGCTGCACCTCGTGCCTTTCAACGCGTGCACGTTCGGTTCGCTGTTTTCGTGTACTCAGCGGTGGACGGCGAAACGTTTCATTTGTCTTGTCTTGTGAATCAAATATGGGGCAAGGAAGATTGAACTCGTTGGAGTAGGTCTACAGTGGCTCCCGTCGTATCCCACGGTTTGTCATGGTTGGTAGTCATGATGCCGCATGACGAACGGCCCTTGAAGCGTGGTACTGCTGTCGCCTCCACATTGTTACCCTGTTTGTCTGTGACACGCCACTTATTTTTGTGCTCCCGGCTCTCCCATACGGCGCAGGTCATGGGATGAAGCCAAAAGAGGTGACGAAAGCAATGAAGGCGTTGCACGAGGACAGCGACATCGACATCAACAAGCGCGCGGTGCAGAACGCAGCTGCCATTGTGCACGGGGCGGAGAAGCCGAGAGATGCTGCCGATGCGTACGAAGAGGTGTGTCCATGTGTCCGTTGAGACTGTTGCCTCTCTTGTTTGTGTGTGGGATGTTGGGGTTTTGCTCAAGGCGGTATCCGGGCGACAAGACACATACGATCGCAGGTGACAACCGGGAGAATATATGCCCCATGACACCAAACCAAGAAATGTTGGAGGTAAAAAATGTGTGCCGTGCCGTCGTCGTGGTTTTGCGCTGATGCCCTCGATGTTTCCGGGCGCTTAACATGTTGCAATTTCAGGTCATGGCCGCGACGGCCGACGGCGGAGTGTGCGAGATCAAGATGGATGACAGCGGCCGCCTGACGCACATCTGGTGGCAAACGAGAGAGCAGGTAGGTCGCCGGTCGTTGTGCCCCATACGAATATTCCCCAGCCGGAAGGTTTGCTTTCATTTTAGCATCTCGCACGTACCGCTTCGCCGTCCGCAAATGTAGGACGTCTGACCGAAAGCACGCCGTAGGCAAGGGTGGGGGTGCGTTGTGACGCGTCCAACACACGTCACACCCACAATTAAGTGCTCTCGATCCCCTTCGACGTCATGCTCCGAATACGCAGGTGGCGCTTTGGAATCGGTACGGTCACGTTGCGCTCTACGACGACACCGCTGTCAAGAACAGATACCGTATGCCTCTCGGTGTGCTCGCTGTCGTCGATTCGGAGTATCGGACGCGGATCGTCGGCCAAAGCATAACGGCCGACACCACAACGGACACTTTCCTGTGGATGTTGAAGAGTGCGTTGGAGTCTCGCGGGAAGCAGCCGGATACCTTCATCCAGGACGCGGACGCGGCGATGACGGCGGCGGTGCGAGAGGTGTTCCCGGACGCGCTGGCGAGGCGCAATTTATGGCACCTCAACCAGAACGTTATCAAGGCCCTCGCTAAAGTCCTTGGTGGGTACATGAAGGTGCGCTCTACTGTGTGTGTTGGCGTGGTTAGTCTGGCCTCTCGTATTGTCCTGGTCGCGCGACGTACGCTGCCCACTCTAGCCCCCCTCCCCCACTCCCGCTTGTATCCCCTGTGCGAGTTGGTGCGTTGTCATGGATCAGTGTCGCCTACTTGGAAGAGTGATATCCAGCGTCTCTGCGTAGACCGTGATGCGGAGACGACCTCGGCTTCGACGGAAACATACCTCACGACGTCCAGTGCACACAGAAAAAGCAGCAGCAGCAGCAGCAGGTTGTAAGCACCAATGGTATGTCGCTGAGTTTTTTCAACCCTCTCCTCGTCTCGCCTTAGCGCTAACGAAGTGTACGGGGTTGTTGGTGGCAGTCAATCGTACAGACCGGTAGCCCATATCGCAAAGGCCCCAACTCACGCAACACCCACCCGGCCCACGTCGTTTGTGTTTTCCGCAGCCTTTCATGGACGAGTTCAGGTGTGTGCGTCAGCAGCTGTCATTGGCGAAGTTCGAACGGAAGTTCAACGCCCTCATCGAAAAGTACCCGAAGGCGGAGAAGTACATGCAAGTAGTATATGACGACCGTGCACGGTGGGCGGAATATGTGTCGCCCCTGGTGTTCTCCGTGGGTTCGTGGACGACATCAAGAGTTGAAGGTGCGTGTATGCGTCATCTGCCATCATGAGCGTTTTGTTCGAGAACGACAGCGCATATAGCGTTGTCGTTGTTTTTGGGAGTTTTTCTACGTCTGTAGGGGTTGGGGGCGGCTATCTTCCTTGCCCCCTATTTACTATGCCATTGGTGAGTGCTTCTGGACGAATTTATCGTACGCCGTCAGTGGATGACCAGTAAACAACTCCCTACATGACGCTAATGTTTACGACCTCTTCGAAACATGTGGCTGTTGTCCGGCCCCTGTTGTTCGGGATTGATGTACTTGGTCGGTGCACTGCGATCGTCCGGCTCACGTGTACATACATCTGTGGCGATGGGTGCGTCAAGTCATAGGCTTCTCTTTCAGTCGTTTGGCGTACTGCGACTTCAACGATGTCTGATGACACCCATCACTAACCTACGGTTTGGTTTGTGTGTCGCTTCTTGCGTGTTTGTCCGCCGCACACACAACAGGCCAAAACGCCCTCATCAGGGATAGGTGCAACTCGCGCTCCTCGCTTTTGGACGTGGCGAAGTACTTTTCGGGCATCATCTGTTCCCAGAAGGATGCCGCCATGCTGCGTGACGCAATCGACCATCTGCCGCCTAATCGGATGGCGGCTCCACCAGCGACCGCTTTCAAGAGTGTGCTCGAGTCCTGCGAGTTCTCCATCGCGGGCTGGCCGCGGCGGTTCATGGAGCAAGAGATGACCGCGGCCATCACGTTTTGCCAGATGGGTGGTGGGGAGGTGGATGGACCAGAACGCGCGGCAGCTTCGGGGCGCACGTTCGAGTACATCGAGGACAAGCTTTGCGACGCCATTTACGTCTTCGGGATTCACGAGCAGCGTGATGACAAGGCCTTCGACTACCTCGTCTTGCTCTTTTCCGACGGTAGCCATCTCTGCCAGTGCCGCACACTCCAAACTCTCAGGCTATTTTGTCGCCATGTGTGGGCGGCGATGATGTACAGCCCCCGATTCAGATTCCACGTAGGCCTCCTACACGAGCACTGGCTGACGGAAAAGGCGAGGGGAACACCGCAGCAGGACTGGCCGGATGTCGCCCGCCCTCGGTGGGTGGTATCCAACCGCCACGCTGCGAGAGAAGTGGACGGGGCGGCGGGAGAGGGAGAGGGAGAGGGGGTGGGGGGATGCAGCGGGAGGTGGAAGTCTTTCGTTGGGAGCAGCCAGACGGTGCAGACGGTCCTGTTGGACTTGAAGGAGAAGGGGCCCACGGACCAGGATAGACAAGTGTTGTACGCCGACGTAACGAAGAAGCTCGGGCAAGCCGCGAGTATTTTGTCTGATCGCTTTTCACCGACAGTCGCCGTAGCCCTCGTGGACCAATTTCTGACGATGGTCAATGTGCAAGCAGGCGGGGTAGGAACTACAACGACGGGAGGGCGGGGGGCGGCTCTCTTCATGGCCAACCCTGGAACTGTTCGCCTGCCCGCTAGGACAAGTAATAAAAGACGACCTGGCGCTGCAGAAAGATACACAAGAGGGGGTAGCAAGAGAGCCGCGACTTCGGGGTCCCAACTCTAGTTTCGGTGTTGCATACTTTGGGGTACGTGAGTAGCGGTACGCGGCCCTAGGTTTACGACGTCACCGGGGCATATGCCTGAACGATGTTTTGTCCCCCCCCGGCGGCAGGTCAAGGCTCGGTGTGTTGTTTATTTTTCGCTTCGGCGTTTTTGCGCCGATCGCCGTCTGTGATGTTGTCGATTTTGTGTTTGTATGTCTATTTGGTTGTTGCGGTGTAGCGTTCGATGGGGCCATCTGGTTCCTGTCCTGTTTTTATTTCTTTTGTTCCATTTCCTTTTCTTTTCTTTCTTCCGCCCCCTTTTTTGCCGTGTTGGGGTCATATCCAGGTCCTTTCTTTTTTTGGTGGGGGTCAGTCTATCATCAAATCGCCTGTTGGATATTGATTGTTCCTGTTTTGTTTTTTTTCTGCGTCTATCTGTGCTTGTCGACCTGTGTGCTCTGCGAAGAAAACCGTGTGAGCCGCGTCTCGAGTTTGTTGAGCGGGCCTGCGGTGTGCGAACTAAACGATGCCTACAGATTTTGACGGCCCCATGATGACTGACATCCATCACGGCAGCACCGTGCAGCAGGTTATATCTACCAAAAAAAGAATACTGCTGTATGTAGTTCACAAAATCTACAGCAACAATTGCTTGCAGCAGCAGAAACGCACAACAACAGCAGCACCACACGCGGATAGACACACACACAGAGAGAGACGAGCACTCCTCTAAGTACGGGGCGTTGTGTGTCGTCGTGTCCTCCTGTTCCTCTGAGGCCTAGCGTCTCCTGGGCATCCCGGGTGCGAAGGGTGGCCTTGGCGTGAAATATGTGCCAGTATGGCAGTATGGACTGTTGAGGCTGTTGCTGCAGACGAGAGCTCTGCTTCCGAAGACAACGGGCGTTAGATCCAGGCTCCGAGATAATATTGAATTTGAGAGGGAGAGAGGAGAACCTCTTCGGGGACACTCCGGGCGGTTTCCCGGGGTTTCGATCCGTCCGGATGTTTGGACTGTGGTTCTCTTTTATAATCCATGCATTGCAAATATTCGCGCCCGTGTTTTACGGGTTCGCTACGTCCGCCACGTTTTCAGAAGTTCCGAGTTCGATAGCCAGTGCGTCCTCCCTTGGCCCACCCACCGTTTTTCTTTTTCCGTTATCCGGAAGAAAATTTAGTGACCAGCGGGTTTTGAACCCGTGTCGTTTGCAACCAAAAGCAGACACCCTGACATCTCACGTCGACGCCATTGTGAAAAGAGGGAATCGTCCTCGACAGACGTTGGGGAGTTTCTACCTTTATGAAGGTGGTCTCCACATAAGAGGTATTTTCACCATGTTCACTTAGCCCGTAGAGCCTGCTGCAGTTTGCGATGTGCTCGACCTTCACCAAGAATTCCTTGACCGACAGTGGCCCTTTCATAAAATTGCAAGTTTTACAACAGGCAACAACGTTGTCACTTTCGTACGTGCCCTCGTTCTGCACGCGGTCCACTCCTGATTACCCCTCATTCGTGAATTCGCCACAGTAAAGCACGGCGTGCGCACAATGCTGCTGTACTCGTCAAGGCTAATCGATACCGCAATGTCTCTCTCTTAGCTTGCTCATTAAACACCCTCCACCTGTACACCAAATCGACTTTCCTGGCTTTTAGATGCCTCTGGTAAGCGGGCGATCTTCGGTATCGCTTCTTCCGCAGGGCTCTGATGCGGCGTATGTCGTACTCTGGAGCATTCACGACGACGAATCCGTCCCGCACGGGCCCAGTAGGCTTGGTGGATGGTTTTCTTGTCGAGATCCATCCGCTGTCCTTTGTCGCACCCATGGCTGATGAACGGCCGGAAGTGTTGTGTGGTGTGGGAGAAATCGTTTGGCGTCTTGTGGAAGGAAATGTTCTAGACGTTGGCGGGCCTACGGGGAAAAAAATTAAGAAACGACCCGGTTTCTGGAACACCTTGTCGCTTCTGCCACATGCAGTTGTGTGGACGCCAACGCAACAACGCAACTCGTAGCAAAAGATGTCCCGCGAGTTCCGAAATAGCGAAATTTCGTACTCACCCACGCGTGGGTGAGTAGGTGTTCAGGAAGCCATCAGCTAAACATTTCTCTAGAAGGCGGGACATTTTTCGCGCTTTCCCCCGCTGAATAAATAAGTCTCGTCTTTTCGCTGCAGGTGCCATCCCACCGGAGCTGGGGAACCTGGCAGCACTGCAAACGCTTAACCTCGGGTGGAACCAGTTGAGCGGTGAGTATCTAAAATTTTGTGATCGAATTTTAGTATGAATCCCGTGTATGCGTACGCAGGACTCATGATGTTTTTGTGCAAGATGATCGGGGGAACCAAATTTCGTGTTCTCGCTACTCACCGCTTAGCTGGTTGGTCGGAAGGGAGAGCACCTTCAGTGCTTCAAACTTTCCGAGCTCCGGCGGGATGGGGCCTGCAAGCAGAAGAGCAAAAAATGAAATCAGCTGGAAACAAAGAAACAGCTCCCCGCTTTCGAGAACATCCACCTACTCACCCACGCATAGGCGGGTACGAAATTTCACAATTGCGGAACTCACGGGACGTCTTTTGCTACGCGTGTCGGTGAGTAGGCGGAGAAGCATTTAGTCAATTCTCTGTTTCTCTCGTACTGCTCTCCTGCTTGCAGGTCATATCCCTCCGGAGCTAGGGAAGCTTGGCGCGTTGAAGACACTCGAACTCAGCGCCAACAAGTTAGATGGTGAGTCCAGAGATGAAATCCATTTCATTTACTATTTTGTTGACACAAGGTACATGAATCTCGCCGACGCATAGGCGGGTACGAAATTTCACAATTGCGGAACTCACGGGACGTCTTTTGCTACGCGTGTCGGTGAGTAGGCGGAGAAGCATTTAGTCAATTCTCTGTTTTTCTCGTACTGCTCTCCTGCTTGCAGGTCATATCCCTCCGGAGCTAGGGAAGCTTGGCGCGTTGAAGACACTCGAACTCAGCGCCAACAAGTTAGATGGTGAGTCCAGAGATGAAATCCATTTCATTTACTATTTTGTTGACACAAGGTACATGAATCTCGCCGACGCGTGGGTAAAGTAGGTGCTCTAGAAACCGGGTAGTTTATTTACGCTTTCCCCCGTTCAATTCATATGACTGCGGTTATTCGCCATTTGCGCAGGAACGATACCGGAGGCGCTAGGGAAGCTGACTGCGTTGCAGGGGCTTTATCTGCATCGCAACAAACTCTCAGGTGAGGAAACGGAAAGGTTGTTTTGGAATGTAGAAGAGTCACACCCACGCGTTGGCAGGACCGTTTTTCTAGACGCCGGGGATTTTTTTTTTTTCTCTCCCGCCAACTTCTTATTTTCCCTTTGTCTGGCAGGCAACATCCCGCCAGAGCTAGGAGATCTCCGACAGGTGCAGAAGCTGTGGCTCAACCACAATCACCTCACAGGTACCTATTTTATTTTGATGGTCGGTTTATTTTTCTAGCATTGGTCCATGGATGAATCTCGCCGATTTCGCGTCCACGAAACTTCAGAACTAGCGGGATAGCTTCTTCTGTACCCTGTCAAACTGCCCTGCGTTGAATCGTTCATCTGCAGGCCATATCCCGCCTCAGCTCGGACAGCTTGGCGCCCTGAAGACCCTCGACCTCTCCATGAACAAGTTAGATGGTGAGTTAACAGACCAAAAAGAGTTTTGTTTTCTTTCGATTTCTGAAAATGCATGAATCCCGCGTATGCGTTGGGAGGACCATTTTTCTAGACGCCGGGGGATTAAGTTTGTTTTCTCCCGCCAACTTCTTATTTTCCGTTCCTCTGGCAGGCAACATCCCGCCAGAGCTAAGAGATCTCCGACAGCTGCAGTGGCTGTGGCTCAGCAACAACCACCTCACAGGTACGTATTTTATTTTGATGGTCGGTTTAGTTTTTTTCTAGCATTAATCCATGGATGAATCTCGCCGATGCGTTGGCGTCCACTCACTGGTCTAGAAGCCGGGGCATTACTTTTGTTTTGACCCGCAACCATCACTCCGTTTTCCTTCTTCCACTTACAGGTCCCATTCCGCCGGCGCTAGGAAAGCTCGCAGCGCTTCGAGAGCTAAACCTCGGCGAGAACCAGCTAAGCGGTGAGACACTCTTTAGATGTGTTGAAAAAAATTCCCATGAATTTTCATTATGAATCCCGTGTATGCGTTGGCGTCCACGAAACTTTTGTACGGGACCAATGTTCTAGAAAGCGGGGGGTTGTTTTCTTTTGTCCCGCTGAGCTACTCCGTTCCGTCCGTCCGCTTGCAGGCCCCATCCCATGGGAGCTTGGGCACCTTTTCAGCACTGAAAAGGCTCTACCTTTCCAACAACCAACTGAGCGGTGAGTCAACATTTGATTTCATGACTGTTCCACGACCGATTTTGCGGCGAGTCCCGTGTACGAATCTCGCTGATGCACGTGAGTGGACGCTAACGCGTTGGCGTCCACGAAACTTCAGAAATAGCGGGTACGAAATTTCACAATTTCGGAACTCGCGGGACATCTTTTCCTACGCATTTTTTTCTACAACTATCCTCGCTGATATTTGCTCCCTGCTGCATTCTTGTGCAGGACCCATCCCCAAGGAGCTGGGAGCACTTAGTAGGCTGGAGACGCTTTGGCTCAACGACAACAACCTCACAGGTGAGAGAATCGAAGAAGAGTTGAAAGTTTTCTTGTTCACGAAATAAGAATCCTGCCGACGCGTTGGCAGGACCGTTTTTCTAGACGCCGGGGGATTTATTTTATTTTCTCCGGCCAACTTCTCACTTTCCCTTCGTCTGGCAGGCAACATCCCGCCAGAGCTAGGAGATCTCCGACAGCTGCAGACGCTATATCTCAACGGCAACCGCCTGACAGGTACCTATTTTATATTGATGGTCGGCTTGATTTTTTTCTAGCATTGGTCCATGGATGAATCTCGCCGATGCGTAGGCGGGTACGAAATTTCATTCACAATTTCGGAACTCGCGGGACATCTTTTCCTACGCATTTTTTTTCTAGAACTGTCCTTAGTGATATTTCTCCCTACTGCATTCTTGCGCAGGACCCATCCCCAAGGAGCTGGGAGCACTTAGTAGGCTGGAGAACCTTTGGCTCCACCGCAACAACCTCACAGGTGAGAGAATCGAACAAGAGTTGAAAGTTTTCTTGTTCACGAAATAAGAATCCTGCCGACGCGTACGCGTCCACGAAACTTCAGAACTAGCGGGATAACTTTCATGACGCCAATTACATACGCGGCATTCATGCTCAACTTCAGCCTCACCGGATAGCTGGTTGTTCCACAGTTGGAGCTGCACCAGCGCTGTTAGCTTGCCCAGCTCCGGCGGGATAGGCCCTGTAAGCAGACAAGCAAACTAGATTGATCCTCATTATTTTATGTTCGATCTCCGTAGATCCATGGACGCGTACGTAATTGGCGTTCATAAAAGTTATCCCGCTAGTTCTGAAGTTTCGTGGACGCGTACGCGTTGGCGTCTATTCACGCAGTACGCGGGATTCATGCAGGCAGAACTCGCAAGAAAACAGAACTCTCTTCGATCTTTTCAACTCACCATCTAACTTGTTGCCGGAGAGGTAGAGGTACTGGAGGGCGCCAAGCTGTCCGAGCTGAGGCGGGATATGGCCTGCAGATGAACGATTCAACGCAGAGCAGTTTGGCAGGGTACAGAAAAAGTTATCCCGAGAGTTCTGAAGTTTCGTGGACGCCAACGCGTGGGTGAGTACGAAATTTCGCAATTTCGGAACTCGCGGGACATCTTTTGCTACGAGTTGCGTTATGTAAGTGTTTCTAGAAGCCGGGGCATCGGCGAGGTTCATCAAGATCAACGCTAAAAACAATTTGAAACCATTGTCAAAATATAAAATTTACCTGTGAGCTGGTTGCTGCCGAGACTCAGCGTGTCCAACTCTCGGAGATCTCCCAGCTCCTTCAGGATCGCGCCTGCAGCGAAAGTGCAAACAAGAATAGAGCGGAAGTGTAGCGGGAAATACAAAAAACAAATCCCCGCCTTCGAGAAGGACGTGTCCTGCTAACGCAGTACGCGGGATTCATGCGTGTTTAGAACTCGAAGGAAAATAAAACGCATTTTGAATTGTTCAACTCACCATCTAACTTGTTATCGTTGAGGTAGAGGTTGTGGAGGGCGCCAAGATTTCCTAGCTGCGGCGGGATATGGCCTGTAGACGAGGGAGTCAACGCAGGGCAATTGGGCAGGGTAGACAAAAAGTTATCCCGCGAGTTCTGAAATTTCGTACCCGCCTACCCCGCGGTGGGTCAACACGTGATTTGATGGATCTTTCCCGATCGATTTTGCATGAGCTTGGCGCCTCGACGATATTCAATCTCAGCTTCAACGAGTTGGATGGTGAGTCCAGGAGATGAAATCCATTTTATTTTCTATTATGTTGAACAAGGTACATGGATCTCGCCGATGTAGTTGGCGTCCACACATATTTTTATTCATAGGGCCAGTTCGCACATATAACAATTTCGTACCTGTAAGCTTGTTGTCGTAGAGGGCGAGAACCCGCAGTTCGCTTAGATCCCCCAGCTCCGGCGGAATGTGACCTGCAAGCGCCAATACGGAGTTTGGGTCACGGGACAAAAAATGTTTTCCCCCGGCTTCTAGAACACTGCAGAGACTTGAGTGGGTGGGACAAGATCTACGGAGATCGCAAAACAGTTTTTTTCCGAACTCCTACAAAATGTCTTGCTTTGATGCCACATCTACAGGACACATCCCACCACAGCTAGGAGATCTAAGCGCACACACGGGATTCATCCAAGAAATTTGGGCGGGGAGAAACAAGAGGTTATGTTGACCTAACCTAAAAATTGACTGACCGCTTAGCTGGTTGTTCCCCATGGAGATTGCAGGCAGGACGCATGCTCTAGAAGCGGCAAGACTATGTCGTTGGGGAGAGCAACAAAATTCCGCCCCCACCCCTTGTATGTTCAGTGTCGAGCAGCACAAAGCTCCTTCAGCTCCATCAATGAAGTCTGCCAGCCCCGCACAATCCAAGAAAAAGACTTCTTGAGAATATCGTGAATATCGTGCGAAACACTTGTAGAACATCGGTCGTGGTAAGGGCGGGGCATATGTTCGTGGAAGTCGAAACGCCATAAATTGGCGTCCAAACACGATACAACGCATCACTGTTTTTGAGAATGGACTTCCCGTGGTGACGCATGTGGACATGAGCCATTCGTGAAGAAGGATGTGGCCTCAACTTGTTGTTGGCGTTGGGCGGACGATCTTGATACTACAGCGTGTTGTGTTTGGATAAATACCTGCAATGTCCCGAGTCCGATGTGCTTGGCATTGACGTGCGGTTACACGGTTGTCTGTCTTTCCGCCAGGTCTCGGCGAAACCGAGGATGCATTGCGACTGGTGGAGAGGCTCGGAGACAATCTGCTTCTGCAAAACAATCCGTGGATCATGCCGCCCGAGGGTGTGGTGGAGGCGGGATTGACTGCCGTCAAGAGATACCTCGTGGACGTTCAAGAGACCAAGAAGGCCGGGGCTGATGTCACGTCCCTCCAGCTTCTCAAGGTGGTCTTGGTTGGCTCGGCTTCGGCTGGAAAGACTAGGTGGGTTTTCTGTGGCAAACAGCGGCATTTGTGCACATTCCGTCATCCCACAGACGGATCATTGAACAACTCTACCTAATGTTTGTAAGTAGAGTAGCCAGGCACGGCTTGCTCAGACGAATCGCGCTGCGCTGTGACTTGGCGAATTCAGTCGAGGCCGGTTGACGGTGACAGGGCGCTTGCCACGACATCCGCGGATCGAGGCCCTGGATAGTGCTGTTGCTTCTGTGGATTACTTCGCACTTCGGCAGAGGTTGAACCCTATCTGTTTCACCACTCCTCGTGTCGCCATGTTGAACGATGGCAGTTTGATGCAGAGCATCATCGCGGGCCGTGGCTCCCCGACGAAGGGGACGCCAGCGCAGGCGAGTACCGTGGGGATGGAGCTGCGTCCTCATCAGCTCCAGGACACAAAAGTTGAGTTCTTCGACTGCGCTGGACAGGTCGACTACGCCGGAATGCACCAGACATTTCTCACACGACGGGCTCTGTACCTGCTGGTGGTGGATATCACGAAGTACCACGGTGTGGACGACCTTGACAAGGTGCGCGTGCCTCAGGCTGACGTGATTGTATTCCGGTAACTTGCAGTACTCGTATTTTTACTTGGATGGCGTTGTATGGGTGTGTTGCAAGCCTTGTAGATTCGAGCATGCAAGCATATTCAGGGGCCATTCGTGGTTACAGGGTCGAAGGACCCCACGGTACACACACAACGCTTGGTAAAAACGACACCACCTTGTACCGGGTCCCGACCCTTGAAGAAGGCCCAAGCCATTGCATTGATTTTATCTCAATGCTCTCGCTCTCCTCACCAATTCAAACCCACCCTCGGCTTTGTCGCGTTATCTATCAAGCGCCAACATCTCAGGACCGTTTTCAACCCAATTCAAAACTCGTCAACTGTTCGTCGCTGACGTTGCTACGTGCAGGCCATCCACGACGACATCATGCGGTGGCTGTACTACCTGTACCGTCGGGCGCCAGGGTCCACTGTGGTCCTGGTTGCGAACAAGTGCGACGGCTCGATTGACAAATTCGCAGAGACCACCGAGAAGGTCCAACGACGTGTACGCGAGCTGGTGGCCGTATGGCACGAGGCCCGCGGTCTTCGTGGCCGGAGTAAAGGTCATGTGACGGACTTGACTCTTCTTCCAGGCATGAGCCGCGTAAGCTGCCAGGAGGAGGGCTCCCCGGAGGCTTCGGGTCTCCCCGCGCTGATTGCTCTGATCTCACGCCAGGCTGCGACGGCTATCCACGTGCCGCCCGCCTGGGACCTTGCCCTCGAAGTGATTGGCGCCCTGAGGGCTAGCTGCAATCCGATTGCGGCTGCCCGGGACAAGCTCGGTTTGCCCAACCCGCTCCCAGCCGACGGCGTGGCGGATGTGCACGCCTTCGCTTTCATCTCGAAGGACGAGCTTTCGCGCAAGTGGAGAAGCGTCGTGGACAACCTCCGAGGTGATGTACCGGCGGCGACGATTTCCAACTGGCAAAGCGCTCTGGAGGGTGCGCTGTGGATCAGGTGTGTTTTGCTTTGATCAGATTTGAATTTTGTGTTTGTGTCCGACTGTCGACTGGTTTTCACCCTGTATATCTGACTTTGCGGCAGTGCTTCGTGTACAAGAAACGTGCCTGCATTTTATTTTATACCGCGGTTCATGGCAACACCACTTTTTACAACTTTAATAATACTGGAGACCATGTAGCTCACACAAGCCCCGCCCGCTCCGCCAACGTTCACGTCAGTGATTTTGCCGGCCACACGCTCCGTGTTGATGGTGGCGACGGTATCTTCCTGGACGTGTTGTGGCTCTCGAAGTGCTTGAGTCCTATCCTCAGCCACAAGCTCAAGAATCAACCCTTCGAAAACCGTTGGCTCTGGATGAGAGACGACCTAGCCGGCGACGGGATTCTACGGCGGGAGTTTGCCTTGCATATCTGGAGCGAAAGTGTCGGTAACGTAGTGATGGAGTCGGAGGAGGTCGCGGAGGCTCTTTTTAGCGTCCTTATTAAGTTGGGTGTGGCTCTTCCCATGGGGCGTAGAACGCTTTTAGCCCACTCCGATCGCAGTACGCCCACAGCCCCCAGTGACGTCAGCGGCTCGAATGACATGCTTGTGATCATGCGACTATCAGAGACGTGCTACGGGCACCAGCGAACGCTGTTCGACGGCCTTGCCTCTAAGATGCCGCGTGACCGGGTGACGCTCAAGTGGGAATTCGACAAAGCGGGACCTCCGTATGTATGGGTTAATAGAGCGGTTGATAGCATCTTGCCATGTCCTTGGCAAGGTGGAGGCGGGAGCGTGTTGGCGATACGGCGCCGTGTTCAAGAGTCATGACATGAAGTTTGTTGAAGGCAACGTTCGGTTGTACACGGTCGCTCTCAGCATGACGAGCTACAACGAATCGGAGCGGGTGTTCACGGCGAGGGTGTTCGGGCCACTTGATAATAAGAGGGTGTGGGTGGCTATCCGCTACGTGGCGTCGGCAATGATCAACTTGTCCAAGGAGTGGCCTGGAGTGCTGTGGACGGGATGGCTAGATTGTGAGAAGCATCCCTTGCAGCACCTTTACCTGGCGTCATCGGTTGAGGTACGAGTATGCAGTACGATGCCTCTGTGTGTTGCTTCCTTCGCCTTTTCGCCTTCAAATAGCGGTCGAAAGTCCTGTGATTTCGAAACTCCGTGACCCTGCTGTCTGCCACCCGACCGCAGGCAAGGGTCGGTGACCCCCTTCTTCCCGCAGCAGCTCCGGATGCTCGAAGGTGCGACTGCCTGTTGGAACCGGGTGGGGTGCTCAGGCTGGCTGTCGAGAATCTTGGCCCCGTGATTGATACCGGAAAAGGTGGGGACAATCTTGGTGGGGTCGTCTGTTTCTTACTTTATCTGCAAGGGTATGGAAATTTCCACTCCCTGTCGCGATGCGTTTCTACCAAAAAACATGTAGGCTACGTGGAAAATGGGGCCGTCAAATGTAGTCACCAATCATCAATTTCCCCTGACATTGTCGCGTCTCCCTGCTGGCTCTTGTACATGGTATTGACGATAGAGTTGGGTTGGGCACTAGAATACCGAGGTTACCGCACACTTTTGCTGATTGGTGGACGCTCCCCTCTCGTTTGTCCTCGATAAATCCGTTCGAAGGCCTATCAGATGAGGACACGGAGGACCCTGTTGCATGCAACTGTGTGCGCGAGGCATTCGGTCGCTGGCAACCGCACGCTTGGCGAACTGCCAAATGGCTTTTTGGGCTTGCCGTGGTGCTCTTCACCACAGCTGTCGTCGCAGGCATCGTGGACGACGAGGACGCCCTCTGGAAGAGTTCGTTGGGGGTCTGTTGTCTCTTGATTTTGTTAGCCGTGGTAGCTTCGGTGTTCGCGTACTGCGGGGATCGTGAACAGGGACAGAGTGGGGGGCAACATGGAACGCCCGAGGACGTCGTTGCGGCCTTTGCATGACATGAAAAAGCCCTCCGAGAACATAGTTCAGAGCTCAGCAAACCTGGTGAAACGGGTGTAGTATCGGACGAATCTTTGGCATGTTCGGAGGCATGCGAAGGCATGAGTGTGTAAGGTTGAGTGCGGAGTAGCACATTCGGAGGGAAGGGTATTGCCGTGCATGCCTTGTCCGCCTTGGGAAGAGATTGGGCTTTTGGGGTTGGTAGCCTTGCTGCGCCCGACGGGGTTGTCTTTTTTTGTGTGTCCTGCGGTAGATGGGAGTGTGTATGACGGTAGGCTTGATGATGTGAGTTTGTAACATATGGCATTGGCGTCCAAGCAAGCACGGGGGTGTGAAACTAGTATGTGTGGGTAGTATTGTCCTGTGGGTCACCCTGAAAAATATGCCACTCTAGAAATTATTGTCTGCATGACGATCATGGTACATTCGATTCCACGTGAGCGAGGGTTTATCAACTTCCAGAAATATGTTAATTCCTCAGCATATAACAAACGTGATTCTAGTGTTGATTTGCGCATGCGTTCGGCGAAAAAGTAGCGCGTTGCGATGACGCCCTCCATCAAGGCATCCGCCCCCCCCGTCCTGTCTCGTGCCCTTGAGACGGCGGGGCCGCGTTTGAAGCGACTCAAGCATCATACAGCATTTTGCGCGTAAAAGTTGTCATCCACCAGCAACGGCTACGATTCAGCGCTGCCAGTGGACGTGAGATGGAACCATGAAACCCCCCAAGGCCAGGGTTCGAGTAACCTTATTTCGTATCATCTCCACGGGGGGGGGGGGCGTCAGGACGCGGCTCCGTCGCTGGATACGTGTGCAGCGAGTCAAGCTAAATCGTGAACATGTTGTGAATTATAAACAAAAAACTCTCCCGGCCCGACAACTGCCACGAGGCCTTTTGTTCAATCAGCCCTGTCACGCCTCCTCTTTGGACTACTCGAGACCGACGCAAACCTCATCGCCAGCAAAGACTTGATAAGTTTCCTCTCGTCGTGGTCATGCCCGATATACCTGTCAACGGCCCTACAGTGCCTCTCCAACCAATTCGCCGAATACATCTCGTTGTGCAAGATTTTTTTGGGTATCGTGTCGACGAGAGAGTACACCCTCCATTTCTCCCCCCCCTCTCTCCTGACCTTGTGAGTACCCCCAAACGCTCTTCACGTAGTACTTAAACTCTTCCAGTGAATCCTCGGCTCTCGACATCCGCACAAGCTTGGCAGTTCGTATCGAAGTGATGGTCTGGTCGAGCATCGCCTTCGTTTCGACAGGCATGCTCTTCAGGTCCAGTCTCTCCCCGGCAATACCCATATTTTTGAAGCCCATCTTCTCCAGCGTCTCGAGGATGTCTGTCGCGATGGTGTAGTTGGGCCTAAATTCGTCGAGTGACTCTCGCATCAGCTAAAGGGTTGTGTCGATCATTTTCCTCACGATGGGCGGAAACGCCGTGAAACGTGCGTCGCCCCCCTGAACTTGTTGAAATCCTCGACGTCAGTGGCGTCAATCTTGTCCCGGTAAAAGCGCTGCACGAGCTCACAATGAACTAATAATCGTCGATCTTCAACGGGTGGCGTAGCCGGGGGCGCACCAGACACGCGCCTCTGGAATATCTTGGCCAAACGTTTCACGTCCGGTCGTGGAGGTTTATGTTCCCCGTAATCTAGCGAAAAAATGCCCGGCTTCAGTCCCGGGAAGTCGGTCGGTTTTACCAAAACGGCCGACGAAGTAAATGCTCTGGAAGAACGGTGTTTGTTCTAGAAGTTGAGGCCAGCGAGGATTAGCCCTCCGCCACCACTTTCGCTTCTCTGTCCTCAGGAGGCCTTCCGGGAAGATACGCGCCCACTGCTCTTTGCCGTTGCTCTACCCGCGGGAGTAGCGCTGGCGTATGTCGTCTGTTATGCGTCGCACGGTCCACTACGTGGACGGATACAATGGTGAGGGGCATGGTTGTGCGTGGACTATGTCGGGAACCAAATGAAGGTCGAATACTTGCGGGCTGTGTCTTGACCCAGACTGTGAACATGCTGAACTTAGCAAGACTTTCTCGGATGGTATTTGGTATGTCGAGCTTGGTACGACAACAAGGTTTGCCGATGTGAAGGGTCGTACGTCAACGAATAGGCCGGGGCACAAAACAAGACGAAATGTTGTAGCGTTCGTAAACAAATGTGCTGTGGTCCACCTCGGAGACGTCACCCCTCACGAAATGGAGAACGCTCCCGCATTTCTCGTGTTCGATAGAATGCATATCCACCGCGTCATAGATGAGTTGCATGGAAGTAACTCAATCTACGCCGACCGGTACGATCCAGCCATTGTCTTCGCTCAGTTAGTGCCACAACGCATTTTTGAATGAACGTCAAATCGATTGTTTTGTTCTTGAGCGCCTCCTCGCCAACGCAGCTTATTGAAGGTTCCTATTTCCGTGGGCATTGGCCCTGTGAGAAATGGTTCAGCGACAGGCAGAAATCGGAGCCATCGTGACTTCAGCGTGCTTTTTGGGGGAACACTCCCGACCCGTCTCTCTACGTGCACATATGTATGCGCGGTGTCTCTTTATCTTCCGTCGTTAAAAGAGGTCTTGGTGCGCACTACGCATCTCATTCACATCGAACGAGAAACACGCCTGTAGAACCTGGAAAAACCCACAATGTCTGTGCCCGCGACTTTGGGAACCGCCGCTTCTACAACAAGCTGCATACAAGTTTTGACGCCGATCGTGAACCTTTGCGAATTATACGCACAGGATGCGTGCCAGCACACCTCTTGAAGCTCGTCTACCTGCGATCGGTGGACCTCCGCGACAACAAGCTCAGTGGTGAGGATTTCGATTTCCCGTCCAGAAGTTGTATGTTGTTTTCCCGCTCGTTTTCAGCTTGCTTTTTGGAGCTGTCCCACATCCTGAACTCCAATGAAAACTCCATGGGTGCATTTACAGGTCCTGCGCCTTCAGTGAAGCAGCTGAATGATCTTCGTCGTGCTTTTGTTTCGTCGGGCGACAAGTGCAAAGGTATGACGCAGTCCGGGCTAGAGTGCTCGGATGATGAAGATGTTCCTGCTGAGCGAAGTCACGTTGCGGGCATGTACATGGTGGCAAAACGCCGTTTTTTTGCGCCGCCCTGGGAGGCTATTGGCACCCCCCTTCAAAACCAGTCCTTCATGACCAGATTGTCCGCAACCACACTCTTGCGGTAGTTCGACCAAGCATTCGCCGCCAACAATGCGGGAATCTTGTTTTCCATTTTCTAAGCTATTTTTTTTATTCTGGAGTGCATGTCCACACTTGCGACATATAATATGACCAGCGTTCGTTTGTGTTGCATTCTTTGCAACCACAGTTTTGCCTGAGACCTTCACCAACAATGACAGGACCTATTGATGAAACGATGGAACGCATATCGCAGCAGCCGCGACCACTGGGGTATGTCTAATACTCTCCACCGTGCGGCACAGAAAAAATCGTGGACGGCATCGTTGCCTGGTCTCAACATTGATTGTTGTTTGATGGATGAGGGGTTTCCACGTCCAGCGTTAGTGACCCCTGGTCTAGCTCTTCACATTTTGATATGTTTGCTCAGATTTCACACGGCCTTCCTGCAGTCCCGTTTCGTCGTCATCTGCACAATCGGCACACGTAGTTGAAAATGTGGTGCATCGATGTACTACATTGAAAGGCTGTCTCTGTAGGCTCCGGACAAACGGCGTTTTTTTTGTCGTGTAATGGTGTGAACAGTCCATGGTCGACGATCGTCAAATGTCAGCGGCTAGTATGGCAGCAGTGTGGCGGCCCAGAGTTTACCTGGAATCATTGAACAGCGCGCTACGGTCAGAACTCGCTGCGTAGTACATGGCCCATCTTCTATTTGTGCGCGGTTGCTCGAAGTTCTAGAAGGGAAAATATGCCATCTTTGGGTCATTTTTCCCCTGCTTTTGGATTACCAATGGCACGAAGAATGGCACGAAGAAACGGGCTCTTCTGTCAGAATCGAAAAAATACATATTCGAACGTTTGTGATTTCCGCTCGCATTAGAAACGGCCTTCACAAAGTCCGCACCAAGATTCTTCGAAATATTAATATTCCCCCCTTCACACAGAGAATACGTAAGGTTTTTTCCTCCCACGAAAATCCGCACGTCTTTCCTCTGTCACAGCAGGGTCCGAGCAAGGTGACGCGGCAACTCTAGCCGAACATGATGGGTCGAGGACAAAGAATGCCGAGGGTGCACAGAGTGCGGATGATGGATCGACCTCCACGACGAGCAAAATGGCCACCGCCGCTCTTGGTACAAGTTTTAACACAGGTAAGACTTTACCCCGCTTTTGTGGTCGCCTGGCTGTCGGCGTGTCGATGCGTCTGCTGAGCATTGTAGGCTGGACTAGAGCCGTCCGGAAACAGGCCAGGAGCAACGCAGAGGCGTGTGAAGAAGTTTTCTTGTTCTGTACCTCATTTTTCAGAGGTAAATTTGAACATTTTTGGTCTGTAGGAACCATTGAATTTGACTTTTCGGGTCGGCGCAGATAAGCGCACACTCCTTGTGATGAAGCGCTTTATATCTTGGTACCCACCTGCTACACGCGTGTCAGACTTCCAGACTTGAGCTCAAGTAGTAGACCTCGGCTCCTCCCAGACTGAAGAAAGCCGGATGGATGTCTACAGATGTAACAAAGATGAAGCACACGGTTCCCAACTCTGTTGAGTTGCTTACCCTCCCCCGTCGTCAGGTCTACGCTGAGCACGTGGGCCTCCCATGGAGCGGAGATGAACGTTGTACTCATTACTCTTGAATCGCACGTTGGTGTACACTTTTTTTGCGTGTTCCGCCTAGTCCCCGACAACTGCAAGCAGCAAGGAAGGTGGAGTTCAGCGAGAGGAAGAGACAATTGTGTTTTCACTGGTGCTGGGATCGTGGAAAGGGCCTTTTTCGGCTCCCCCGAGATTGTTTCGGGATCCTTGTTTTGTACCTCGTTGATTTCCAACAGAGGCCATCAGACAGAGTACAC